GCCCTACAATACCTAAGAACCTGTTTACTGAACGGATGAATACTACGACACGTTCAGTGGAATTCAGCTTTAATGATATCATATATTAACAGATTGACTGAGTCGCCATGGGTTCTCCTCTTGGACCTGCCTTAGCCAATATTTTCGTTGGTTCCCATGAAAAAGAACTATTTAACAAAGTTACAAGACCTGCTGTTTAGTTCCGCTATGTAGACGACACATTTGCCATTTTTAAAACTGAGCAGGAATGTGAGTGTTTCTTACAAGACCTAAACTCGTTGCACTCGGCTCTCAAATTTACTTAGTTGAAAAAGATGACTTTCGTTTTCTCACCAGTATATACAGAAAACCTACCTTTACAGGACAAATCACACGATGGGATTCTTTCAGTCCAAAAAAGTCGCAAAACGAACCTCATTGCTACTTTAGTCCATCGTGCTCTAGTTGTCTGTTCAAAATCTAAACTAGATTTCGAATTGAAGACAATTAAAACTATTTGACTAGAAAATGGGTATCCAGAAAACGTCATCGATCAAATTATTTCAAGGAAAATTGCGAGCTTCTCAACTGCTCCCAAATTTGGTCCTAACAAGTGCCCTGTTTACCTAAAACTACCATGGATTGGTAACATTTCAACCAAATTTGAGAAACAATTGAAAACGGCCATTACTAAATGTTTTTCTGCAGTGAACCCCTACTGTGCTTATTCCACACGTAAGTTGTTGCCTGCAACACACACAAGATGCGATACCTACCACACAGAAAAGTATGGTTATTTATGAATTCTCATGCCACTGCGAATGTCGGTACATAGGTCGCACTTCACAAAGACTGCAGGATAGAATTAAACAACATGTACCCACGTCCATAAGAACTAAGAGTGTGAAAGTAAATAATTTACAATGTCGCTCCTGTAAAACAAAAGTTCCACCACCAAAATGTAAATCAGCGATTGGCCAGAGCTTACTAGTGAACCCGACTTGTGCTGACAACTACACGGATAGCAGATTTGAAATTATTGCAAATGGTCGGTCGACCTTTCATCTCTATATTTTGGAAGCCATCTTTATCAAAACACATAAACTTGTCCTTTGCTACCAAAAATAATTCCT